AACAGCAATTAGTAAGATTTAGCCAGTATAGTATTTTGATTTCCCAAGGATTTTAAAAACTTACAATTCACCAGTGGGAATTTAAAAGTAAAAAATTCCAGGCGCTGATCAAATCCACGATTCTCATAATCACCCACCTTGAAAGATTTTTGGTCAAACAGGACAGAGGAGTAACGTGTGTGATTGGTGATGGTATAATATATAAAGCCTGACAACGAAGACTCGAGTCCTCTAAAGAAGTAAGACCAAGGTTATCTTGGCAACGATCGTGCAGTGTGTGTATAGCATTTGCCTTTTCTCCAGAGTAGCGTGTTTTTTTCAGTTAGTTGCTGTATGAAACAAGTAAGATTCTTTGTTTGATGATTCTCTAGGACACGAACTGCCTCTCCATTGACGTCATACCAAACTAACAGGACCACGAAATCAGGCGAACACATCATCTTATCCACACGAATTGCGACGGTCTTGAGCTGGATTTTTAAACACCTAGAATATGATACTCTTTGGTAACTTGTACTTTGGATGATGAAATGGAAATCGACCTTTTCCATTGATAAAGCCCGGTCTGAAAACATGTTCCTCCCTTCACGTGATTTCCTTACTAATGATCAGAAAATAGAATATTGCATCATGATGATCTTGAATGTCACTTATCAATGTACCAGCTAAGAGTGACCTATCATCGCAAAAATGAGGAACATTTTTTCAATGTGCCCACGAATGACACTTACATAGTTGTGCGTTGTAAGAAAACTTAGTAATCCTTTTTCATTTTGACAGAAATAAAAAATGAAGTCTTGAGATATAATTTACCTCATTACGGATAGGATGGTAACAGAACGTGCAATGAGAGCGCATATAGAAAGTAAAATATTTGAGGTTACACAATCATTGCACCATAACAAGTTAACTGAAGTCATGTTTATATGCACCAATCTCATTTCCTGAACGGGTGTACGTGATTTCATACGGACGACCTACGCAGGACTTCTACCCGTCTCCAACAGAATGTGTCTGCGTGTTTACGTACCATCACGAACTCTACGGCCGTGTCACACAACAGGGAGTTGCAAAAATCGTTTTAAAACCATGGCAACATCAACAAAATGTCCTTGACAAAACAAATACTGTTGAAAATAAACTCGGACGTTTATCCTTTTGCCTTGCTAAGTCGATGTTTCATTTTCTTCCGAGGCATAAAAGTTTAGCCTAGTTAGATAGCTAGAGGTTGTTCTTGCAAAACAGCCTACAGGCGTCCCAAAGGAATAATTTCCTAGGATCATACAGCCGGAATGTACTCGTAATTCTTTTGAAGTATTGTGAAACGTATAAGCTCATGTATGGTCTGCACACAAACACATTCAATAACACACGAATGATTTTTTTTCCCTGAAAAAAGTCTGCACATGGGCTAATCGCTCAAACAAAAACTCGGTGTGAATAAATCTCTGCACAGGCAAAGAAAATAGCTGGGAATACGTGTACAGAAAATTGAAAAACATTGCCTGTTTTTAAGGTGCACGCCTGATATTATCGCGTTGTAGACAAAAGATCCCTATTGGTTTATGGCAGGCCTGGCCACGATATTTTGTTTGCCAAATTTTCAAGGGACGAAAAATTATTTCCTCTGACGACAACAGGATGAAAATGGTACAAATTTGGTAATCATTTGAACAATTCAAATCTGTGTGGTCAGGTCAGGTATTTCCTGTAGAATTGAAAAGCGCGCATTACTGTACTGGAATATTGATTGAATTCCATAATCAATGATGCAAGGAAAGAACCAGAGAGATTTCAAGAGACTTGAGCATTCTATTGTTTTCGTGTAATCAGTGGGAAGAATTAGCACGAATCACGTATTAACAACAGTTTCTGTTATGATTAAAAACGCCGTGTAGAGTTGTTAAGGAGCTCAGTTTCAGACGGTACCTGGCGGTGTCAACATGTTCATCCAGATTGTGCAAGTAGCTCAAGTGTTCGTAGCTTACAGCATGCTAGTGCTGGTATTTTCAGTTGGTTCACTCCTGAAATCTTTCCCATCCTTCCGGAAAAGCATCATCAGAGCCTTCGACATGATTACTAAGGTAAAGTTACCGGTTACTTCATATTGGGACTCCTTGTTCTCCGATCAAATGTTTCAGAACGTGTGGCATAGCGTGGCTTTGGACATGAACAAGAAGGCCAAGCAAGGAGGCGACGCTCCAAACAGCCCAGTGGTGACATCGTCTGGAAAAATTTGTTTTCCGCTATTGGAGGTGGCCAATGCTGGACGGCCCCTTGTTTTGAACTTTGGAAGCTGTACCTGTCCTATATTTATGAGTCAGTTGAACGACTTTCAAGAAATGGTCGACCAATTCAAGGACATCGCAGATTTTTGTGTTGTTTACATCGAGGAGGCTCATCCCGCAGATGGTTGGGCTTTAAAGGTAAGATGACTTTTCCGGTTTTTAGCCGATTATTTAATCTGGTCGGGAAACGGACACCCCCTTTTCATTGTACTCGTGACACATATTTTGCCTCAATCGAAAAATTTTCTCACAAAGACATTTTGACCTAAGCCTCAATCACTTAGATGGTGAATGAAAAAAAAGAGTGACAGAGACCTCTCTCTCCATCGCTGCAAGACTTTGGCTAGGGACTAAATTTTCAGTCCTGGCCTGTTGCCAAATATATCAAGACTGGAAGGTGATATTTTGGAAACTTTCTTTAATGAATTTGTCACTTTTCCTTGCAGAACAACTACAACATCAGAACACACAGAACGCAAGCCGAAAGATGTAAAGCTGCCAGAGAATTGGCGCGAAAAATTCCAGAATGTCCAGTGGTAGTAGATACTATGCTTGACACGGCAAATATTGCTTATGGTGCTCTTCCAATCCGGTTTCACATTATTCAGGACAGAAAAGTTCGTTATGAAGGTGGGCCTGGACCAATGGGTTACAACATGAGCGAAGTAAAGACGTGGCTAGAAAAGTATCGGGCCGAGAAGTGAACACTATAACACAGTTGATGGTGGACAAAGGTTGTTGGTACCTACACTAAAAGCCACTTCAGTGACGTTGTTCAGCTGGCGCTGCTATTGTTCCTGAATGATGAGAACCATCACGGAACTTTCATCAGCCATGAAAATTTCGAGGAGGCAGTATCAGCTTCAATTTTGATGTCAAGAAGAACTTCTCGGAGGAGATCGTCATAGAAAAACGGTTTCGTGGGAACATTACCATAGCGAATGGTATAGATTAGTCTCGGAACAGTGTTGTAATCATTCACTGAAATCAAGAGGACATGAGTTTTGGCTCAGTTGTCAAATATCATCATCAAAGGCACTCTTGGCTGATTGTGTTTTAGATCGAAGGACAGAAAAATACGAAAAATTATTCCGAACACACAGAACAGATTTAATAGCTTAATATTTGACTAGAACGGTAACTATATTTAGAATGCAATAAAATGGAAACAGATATATTTTGCTCTTGACGTCGTTGATTAAGAAAACTTTAGAAAAACAACCCCAAAGAGGTGTTAGCTGTTCACGATTATAAACGCGACTCCCTTAGGTCTTCTTATATTGGCTATGCAGCTTACCTGACAGCACCGATCACAAACCAAAGTCAATTTTTTACTACTTATCTTACCAATCAAAGATATCAAAAAAATTAGCGAGGAAGTCTACCTTTAGCCATGGTCAACGCTAGTCCGATAAAAAATCAACGCATATATTATATTATGTCTGCGATAGCCTCAGGAAATCGTTTGGTTGAAAACAGCGGCAATGAAGCTTTTTGTCTATTTTTACGTGAATAGCCACGTGATTTTAGCGCAATACCTTCTCAAGAATTAGTCCAGTGCTTCCACGATTCTGAGCGAACTGTTTTCTTGGCACAGACTTGGATTAGCCACGCAAAATGTCTTGAAGTCAAATTCTTGTTCCTTTAAGCCTTATTAGTTTATAAGACTACTGAAATCGATGTGAATGCTTTGAATTTAGCGTGTATAGATGCGTGTATCTGTAAGTAGTATGGTGAGGGGGTGGGGGGTGGGGGGTCAGATTGGCCCTTTTTTTTGTTCCCACCTCCCACAACTAGCCTTGAGTCCTTTCTCCCGCCCAAAACATAACACAAGAGTGCCAAGATTTAAGCATCTTCAAATTTTTGCAAATCCCTTCAGCTTCTGGTCTTTTCCTGTTCCATTTTCCAAACTTCCCCGGCCCCTTTCCTGATTCCTGACTTGTAGTCACTACTGTTTATTATACTTCACCAGGGTACAGAGGGGAAGAGCTTTGTTTGCGGCTTTGTATTGTATTCTACTCCACTGTATCGCAAAAGAGTCCAGAAAGGGGATCTGAGAAGCACAATTCACAGCCAAGATTGTTTCTTAATAAAATAACAGTCGAACAAAACAATTGGAAAAATACTACAATGGTTTATTCAGCTCATATATGCTAAATCTTGCAACTTTCTTAGTCTTTTCTATAGTTTCTTTTTGTTTTATTCTATGTTAATTAAACATTTTTTTTATCATTTTTATCCAACAAAGTTCATACATACAACACTATCTTTAAAAAAATGCAACCATGACACATCTCTAGGATATTATTTATAGCATCTTTCCTATTTAAAGATTAATTGTGTGTAGGAGGTGTCAAGGTGCATTTAATTACTCACAATGATAATAACATTACTTGTAGCATTTTCCTGATCTAAAACGACCGCCAAATGTGTCCTGTCTTCGACGCAATTTGTTTATGATGTAATTTGGTTCTTTCACCTCCTCTATCATAGACATCGAGTTCAGAAAAAAAAATCCGCGTATTAACTGTAGTGGCTTCAATGACTGAAAAACATGCCTAATGCCTAGTGACGATGGAGAACTATAGCAGTTTACAGACCTGGTAAGATTGAAAAAAAAAACACATTCTGTGAGGTAGAGCATACTTACAAGGCTTATAAAAAAAGTATTCTCCCCCACCACCCCCTCCCCCCTCACCCCTTTTGGTCATTGACTATGATCGCTACTCAATTGGAAACGTTTGAAAGCTTTTGCATAATAAATAGAGCGATAATATCAAGTTATTTTAGGAGTCGTGGCATAGGTTCAAAAAGATGTCTGTGTCGTGGCCGAACCCTCACTCCGTGAAGAAGCCAGACTTTCGTGTTCCCGCAAAAGAACCATTTCCAGCCAAACATCATCCTCCTCTTCTTCCTCCATGGTCGTTACGTTCGTAAATTTAGTCTGTAAATGTGTTAATTTTCTGTTCAGCACAGATAAAGTGTTTTTGGTACTCAATAATCTGAGGTCATTGTCTTCGTCACTGGAATCATCCACGTACCATTTTTCGTCGGGAGTAACTCTCGTAGAGAGCAGGTTGACCCCTAAAATTCCTCTCAGCCGTGCCATTATAAACTCAACTAGTTCTGGTTCGGGTTGGGAATGATCCAAATTTTCCACTCTACTGCCGAACGCCGAGTTGATTATAGATACAAACATATTGAGTAAGATGAGTTCCATGAGAATACTGAAGCAGAAAAACAGAGCTGGTCCGATCACTCGGTCAACCTGCTCTAAATCATGATAGTAGGACGCGCCCAGGAGAGCATTTAACATCGCTTGAAATGCAGAAGGAAGGGAGATGAAGTCTTGTAAATGGGCACCAAACGTAATGTGAGCTAAAATGACAAACGGCATAAACCACAAGAGAAATTGCACCATGAATGAAAGTATATCCGTTCGCATATTGGAAAATGTTTGGTTTAGGAGTTTGATGTAGTTATTGTATCTCAACAAATAAAGGAGCTTAAGAGTTGTAAGGAACACAACAAACGATATCATGCACGTATCAATTTCGTTCCACGTTAGAAGCAATGAAAAACTGACAAAAACATAAGGATTTTCTCTGAGATCTTTCATGATCATGTTGATATTCACCATCTTGACAAAATACAACCCAATAGAAACAAGAGCAAAAAGTACTTGCAGCAGATCCACTAAATTCCAAAACTTTTTGAAAAATGCTATCCTCTTATGGTATATTCTTTTGATGACCTTGTAAAGAAGGTACAAGATAACCAATACAATGATAAGCTCTGCGGCTATTGACAAGTTAGCGAGCTCTCCTATGTATCTATAAACTCGAATGGTATTAATTCGACGGAAGATTGCCACTCCTCCAGTTGGCATGACCTCCATCAGAAGCGAGATGACGCAAAACAGATTCACTTGAGCGTTGTACACAGTTAGCTCAACGAAAACGGCGCGAGAGCGACGATCAACCCAGTTATGCTCGAAAAGTTCGCTAACCACCTCTATCGCCTTATCAGGGTAGTAACCAAGCTCTGCCACATATCCACCCCCTGAGTATAAGGCGATTTTACCCCATATTGGAACCCCTTTCAACTGCATTGCTGTTTGATACCTCCAGGGTCTGGGGCACATGTGATAAGTAATGTTTTCAATAGGTATATCCGGAGAGACCGGTACCCATTCTTCTTGATAGATGCTTGTATCTTCATCATCCATCGAATACTGTCCATAACAGTTTAAGCCAAGTTTTTCATTCAATTGAATGTAGTTGCCACATGTATCTGCAAAATAGTGATGTCAGTTATCTCCGTACGTTTGAAATTAATGAAAGTGCTATTGTCAACTGAAAATCATTATTTTTTTAATTCTATACGTGTGGAACTACAATTTTCCTACAAGTTCAGTTTTCAATTACCTCGGATCTAAATTTTTAGGCCAGCAAAATAACTGATTTATTAAAATCAAAACCTACTTCAAATATCGTTTGCAGAAACTCAAAGAGCATTGCTTAAGTACTGAAGACCAAAAAAAAGAACATTTACACTTCGAATAGCGAAGCTGTTTTACATCAAAGGTAGGTAAGAGGAGGTGACGTATATGTTGAAATTCTCCTTCCCCATTATTGGAGCTTCGTCAAGTTCAAAAAGAAAAAAAACCTTAACAGTTTGTTATTGTCAACGAGGTTGATAACAGTAGGTCACTGATGGACTCAATACAAATGAACATACAGAACGTAAGATACTCAGGCAAGCCATCACGCAAATAAGTAGCAAGCAGAAGGGAGAAAAGCAGACCAGTACACAGATGAATAGACAGAGAGTTATGGCGACAGAAAATGCAAAAGACGCCTCACCATTCAAAATTCGAAGTTGCCTCAACCGAGCCATTCCCACGAGAGATGAAGTCCTATCAGGCAAATATCCATCTTCTGAATCCGTAGGGGCCATCCCATTGTACCATGAGCCGACAAAAATTTGTGGAATGAAGATATATCTAACCCAGTGTAAAACTTCGGGATATTGTTGAGTCTAAGGAGAATGTAACGGTAGTAATGATTTCATTGAGCAACAGGGTTATTGTACTAAGATAAATATAATTACACAAATTGGACATACTGTCTCGAAACATACAGTGCTATAATCGTAGATACCACAGTTTTTTCCCTTTTTTATCTAAGGGGCATCATTTTCCGCATGAGAGCTCCAATCTTTATGTGCCAAAAATTACGAAAACTTCGCTGTTCAAATGTCACTACCTTTTGTGTTTCTCCCACCCCTCCCACCTTTTCTAAACATCCTCAGTCTGGTGGTAGTAGTTTCTATACCATTTCATCTCTTTTTCATTGCACGTTACTTTGAATGGAGCTTGCTCCTTAAATGAGGCGACGGATACGAGAGATTTGAGAGATTGGACTTACCTCTATAGAGAAATAATTCTCCAAGTGCTTAGTGTACTCATAAGCAATTGGGTCACGGTGTCCGTATGCCACCATAAGCAGCAGTAGGAGAAACAGAGAGTAAAAAAACACATCAGTCATGACTTCTGAGGACTTGATTTCTTTCATCCTTTTCATTTTCGCCTTTTCCAAAATATTCTTCCGCAATGGCTGGGAATCATCCCATGGTATACTGTCCTCAGATTGAGTTTCAATTAGGCAAGCTTTTTCACCTTTATCATTTAATGTTACCTTTTTCCTCTTAAACTGTTGGCGCTTCTCTTTTTGCTCAAGGGTAAATTTGATGACAAAGGCAATTACAGCCGAAAATAGGGCGACTTTAACTGGCTGAGAGATTGCAGCATCTTGGATGAAAGAGACGAAAAACGACAGAAGCCATTGCTGAGACCTTTCGCTTCCCCATTGAAGAGAGTACGACAAGGTGAAGAAAGCCGATGTTAACACTGATACGAAACACAGTACCCAGGCAAAGTAGTACAAACACATGTACAAACTTTTTCTTTTCTTCTCTTGGGAAATTTTAGTGTAAGCATTATTTAAGTTGAACATACTCTCATCATCTGTAAATCTATCTGCAGATGCGGACTTAAGAGTGGATATGCTGATTGTACTATTTGCTTCATATGTCATGGGAAGGTACTTTTTTGACAACGGTTTTACGCGGCGATCAAAGCAATCAAAGAGTAGTTTAGGTTTTCGTTTGAATATAACACTTTTCGCTCTTTCAGCCTCTCCCAAAGACATAGACGCATTAGATGATTTGCGAAACAGTTGTGTAATGGCCAAGTTTATGGGAAAAATGATTAGGCTGCTCTGTATTCCAATCATCAGTTGACGCATGGTGATCTTGATAGGACCAAGATAAAATACCGAAGAAGTGTCAGCTTTGCCGCTGTCGTAAAACATAGCGTTAGTGATCATGGTGCAAAACAAAATCGACAGACAACAAGAGGCACGCTGCACACGAGAAAAACTGCTTTGAGGTGGCTTGGCGGCAACTGAAATCCATAAATGCTCGTCGTAGAGGCCATCAGCACTGTGAGACAAAAATAAGTACCTGTAATTTGCCATTTCATTGATGTTTGCGACATATAATACTTTTTCCGTTCTCCCGTCGCCACTTTCAACAGCCAACCAATCTCTGCACATAAAGTTCCATTTTTCGTCCTTTAAAACGTCTCGTATAGCCACGTGATCAAGATACCACGATGGATTATCTCCTGAATTGTCATGCCATATATGTAGATATAGCAGTTGACCAAGTGAACTTGGTAGAGACAGCACAACTGTAACGACTGTCCCTCTTTTAAATTTCACTTTGGTGAGCTTGCTCAGTGGAAGCGTACCACTGGACCCGTTTTCTCCCACAACGAGAAAGGTAATATTGGCTGTAGTGCCTGAATTCCTTCCTTTGTTTGTAGATATAGTAACTTCGTACACATAAGCATTTGACGACTTCCCAATGACCAATGTACCTCCCTGCAACGACAATTCAAAAACCTCTGAACAACTAGTGGGTTTTTGCCGCCACATCCTGGAAAAGCTTTTATCCTTTGACCCTCCTAGTTTCCAGCAGAGTCCACATTAAAGAAAAAAATTTTGCTAATCCGTGCTAGTCTTAAAAGAACTCCTTCCTAAACATCAAAGACAATTCATAATGAAGTATCAAGTATGGCATTTGATATTTATGCTAATTATATCTAATAATTAAGTTTACAAGCAGCCGCAGTTTCATCCGTTTGTAACAAATCCAGTGACGGAAGAGTTGAACACTCTTTACCTGAGAAGTGTGATCCTTTCTGTCAGCCCTCCGTGCCCATATAATGACGAGCAGATATAACAAGAATACACTGACTATTGAAACCAATACAGCAACGTTGTTATGGATGTCGGCGAAAGCATACCAAACTTTATCAAAGTCAATGGGATTTGGCTTTACGAGGAAACCTCCACCAAAGGACGTCAAATGCTTGCAGCGACAGGTCATGGTTCGTGATAAGGTCCGCCGTCGGCCAGTCTGGGAACGAAGAAATGACATCAGATTGCCTGGCTTGCTAGAACTGTTTTTGTTTGTGTTTCACTTCTGATCAATCAATTGTTTAAATAAGAATCAGCATTTTGACGTTCATTCATGATTGCAATTATGTCATTAGCTGCTTTTAGAAAACAAATTATGAAATCCTATATTTTGAAGGATTTTACCACGACTACAAGCAAGACGATATAAACTTTATATTCTGTTGCTATGACCAATTTGAAATGATCTTTTTAAATACAGTCAGTTGATAGGATCTCTGTTTCGTGAACCTTGTCAAGGTATAGTGCTTTAGCTATCAAGATTCTCCTCTGAGTTGCACTGAAGTCAACTGCTGGGAAACCCCACCCAATTTCTCTTTTCAGAATATGTTTCAAAACATCTCTCAAAACATTCCATGACATCAACAAAAATTAATTAGTGGCTCCGAAAGCAAAACTTCTATGCCTTACCCTACATCCACCGCCTGAAAACTGGTTGCCAGCAGGATTCCAGAAATTGCACCCCAGACCGAATTGCTCCATTGAGTAGTTACTGTGTTTGGAATTATCATAGCTTTGCTGTCCTGAAACAAACTTTCCATTTAAGGGACGAGTGGTTGGGGGATCCTTGTACTGAATACAATCAGAAACACCTCGTTTGGACCTTCTTCCAGCTCCACAATCTCTCTTTTGCCTGTAATAAGAGCTGGGCTTATTTTCAGTCGTCTCTCCATACTTCACGCCAATGAAATACTTACCAACTTTTGTTAAGTAGGTACTCGGTAGGAAAAGACTGTAAGGATTATCAGTGCAATTGTTATTTTCGACACGAAATGTGTCTTTAATGGAGCAGCTAGAGAAGTTTGGCAATTTCATCTGCAAATCATGTTCTAAGATTGTCGGCTTTTCTTCAAATTTAATTAATATAGTCAGTTGTTCTTGATTCTCTAAAGGTATTATATAGAATTCGATAGCCTCATTAGTTTTCTTGATTTCAAACGAGTGATACTGTATACTCTCATTGTCTGTTTGCTTGTAGAAGATATCTGGGTTTGCTTCAGGCACCGTCGGTTCAAAAGGAATCTGAAGGTCGATTTCTCCAGCCAAATCGAGTATATCTATAACTTGACGCTTCCTTGTTATTTCTTTAATCTTAACGTCTAAAATAGCGGTGGTCACCAATTGGCTGGACTTGTCCCAGGTATATGGATTCTTTGGAAGGTAAAGTAGCTGCAGAAGAGTAAGAACTGCTGATTTGAGTATTTCAATCACCTTCATTATGCAAAAAACAAGATCAGGCCAACTGAAATAACTCAATTAATCCCAAACTTACAAGAGGACTTAAATAGATCGAGATACTGAATCTACGATGTTAAAATCAGAAAGAAAAAAAACCTTCATCCCTATTACGCCCTTTCCAAAGAACTATGACGCTTAAGATCGATCTTCATCCAAGCAGATAACTTAGCAACGAAACGTATTTAGCTCCTTGAAGAGAAAAACTCTTTCTGATGCTTTTGATCATCAAACGACGATCAAACTACAGGCCTTGATTCCAAAGCTAATTCCTTCTTGGTTATATTTCGACTCAAGGTAGCTTGTCACCTCAGCCTTGAGAGTTGCCGCAACATTTTGGTGGAGAACGAATAAAGATGGCTCAGGGTATTCCCGTGGAAACATTTCAAGACAGGGACAGGCAGTTGCGACAACTTTTTTTTCTCTCTAAACAAAATTGGCGCATAAACGTGACGAAAGATATGAATATGATAGAAATTCCACCTGTGTGGGTTGAACTAAACATACCTGGACATCAACTGTTTTATTGCCAATTAGTCCTTGCAAATCCGGGAAATTCACACTAGCATTTCCTGCATTTATAGGATGATCTGTAAGCGCAGCTACCTTGGCTCTTCTGCAGGTCAATATGGCCGACTTTGTTTGAATTTCAATGTCCTCCTGGCCTGGTAGCAGTTTGTTAGAAACAGCCTCGGCGACTTTCTCAAAAGCTTCAATGTTTTCGTAAGCTATTGTTTTACTCTGGTAGAAAATAACAAGTAAATTAAGCTCATTTAGCATCGTTTAGTCACCCGAAAGGTTATCCTAATAGTAGCGACACAGTGTTATGTATAGTTTCTGATCGAAAATTTACGCTTAGAGTAGCTCAAGGCTGCTTGTTTCCACCGTGGCTCCTGCTGTTGAATTTGTCGGAAGATTTCTCCTCAAAGTATGTTTGTATGATGCAATTTCAGTTTAGTCAAAGTTTTCTTAAGTTCACTATGACTGAAATAAGGTTTAAACCATCTAAATGAAAAATGCTGTTAGCCAACAATTACTTATACCTTATTTTGGTCGAGTTCATCCGTGACACTCATCCGCCTGAAATCAGCACTATAAGAAGCTGACATCAAAACGTTGAATACCGCAGTCACAAGATTTTCTGCTCCGTCTGTAACCACAGACACACCAATGTCTTGTCGGGACTTGTTCAACAGAAGATTTATCATGCTAGAAATCTTGTTTGTGGCTATTTCCTTCAAGAAAAATAACGCATACGGCACCATAAAAAGAAGTAATCAGCGATAACACTGAAATGGTCACTCGCGAAACGTGATCGTCGGTGTAGCGTTTATCCTTGAAAGGATAGTTGTTGCCGTGACGGGGAGTGACTTTTCGACAACTTGAGTGCAAGATGATGATATTGTCAGACGAGTTTTTGAAGTTTAGTTTGTGGAAAGTGATCGAGCCAATTTTACCTTGTAGTTATTGGTTGTGAAACTCATGGTGTTTGAAAGCTGTGGCTAAAATTGCAGTCAAAGTTAAGCAAATACTGCGTATACGTATGTACCTGAGCTGTTGAGTTGACGTGCTCCTTTATTTCTGATGCTGCTGCTATCATGGTTGAAACTTGATTGATATCTGTCATTGTTGATATTGGGATCCGGGAAATCTTCTGCATGATGGTGTAACGAACCTGCATAGAAATGTACCTTAATTTTCACTACGAGCCCTCGGTTCAAAGATTCACCTCACTTCAAAAGCCTCTGCATCGACCTTTTCGCTTTCCTCAATATTGATTGTTGAGATTGGAGCACATGATCAGACCAGTAGATTTACTTCAAAAACCTGAACTCACCTCGCTTTGAATTTCAGCAGAACTTGTGCCATTGCCTCTGTGTATTGCTTCATGATTAAGGCTGGACATAACACCGCTTACTAGCTCAGAGACTGAATCAATGTCACCGATGTTGAGGTAGAAATTGAGTTTGCTGTTATCTTTCAAAATTAGTTCATCAAGTTTCAATGGGACAACTTTTCGAGGAAGTACCTAAAAATAGATTTATCCAGGGCTGTCATGGCAAATTGTAAAAGCGGTTATCGATAAAAAAAACATGATTCTTGAAGGTTATACGTCTGTTTACTCGCCACTTGTCAGTGTAACCCATCAGGCATTTACTTGCAGAAGTAAAGACTCTTATAATGACGCTCACGACGTAAAAAAAAACCTACAATTATAACAGTTGTATTACCTAGTTGAATCAATAAGGTTAACACGTTCCCCTGACTTTTGGTGACCCCTCAAAAGCGAAAAAGTTCAGAAGTACCGTTCACACGCAGTCGAATGAGTTTTAACGAGTAAAGAAAAACAAAGATACCTGTATAAGCCTCTGGGTATCCATACGCGCACCAAAGGAATCTATTACACTAAAAAATATCTTTAGACGGAAGTTGTCATTTGAGTCTCCTAAAGCCAGTTTGACCAAAAATCGATCTTCCTCAGCCCTATAAAGCACAGGTTTCAGTTGTGTGTATGGATCATAGTAGGAAACCACGTAAAGAAGAGGCATGTTCTTGGTTTGCCACCCTGCACATTCAAATGTAAACATGGTTTGATATGCTTCGCCCGCTGAAGGACTCACGGAACAATTTCCTCCATATGGTGGACGACTTGTTGTAAAGCTGTATTCTGCGAGGCTTTCATGATCCAACCATTTGTACCACATTCGAACCACGTACGACATCTCGGGATGTAGAACATAAGCTTTCAACACAAGATTCTTCGAACTTGTGTTGGATGAGGCGATGCCCTCTAGATCAGCGACTCTGTTCCACTTTTTCCCATCTGTCTCGTTCACACTTCTATGGAAGAGTTCCCATGAATACACACCCGATTTCCCTTTTTCGCAAGTTCCAGAGAAACAGTGACTACTAACGGACAGAATGTCCGTTGTAATTACTAGTCGTTTGCAGTTCACCACACATCTAAAGAAAATATTGCTTCATTATATTTGCAAATAGAGGTGAACAAGAGAAAAAAGTTGTTTTAACATTTTCTATTTTTGGAGCTCCGTGTCGCTATCTATAAAGAATCATTACAAAATTTGCCATCGCTTCGATCTTTAAGACAGTTGGTTCCCCGTTTTACTCGGCACTACAAGTGGGTGATCCTTCGTTGGCCCCGCATATCTATTTCCTAAGAGTATGCGCAGCACCGTCCACCAATAGAACGGCGGGTTTACTACTTCACTGCAAAAGTGGTTGGAAACTTCAAACAAGCTCTGTTATATGGCCTATTGAAACCAAGATGAAATGACCGAGCTCGATGGCTAGAACTACCGTGGCGGATCCAGACCTTGAGCTAAGGGGTGGCTCGGTTTTTTTATTGCTTGCCCTGCCGGCTTTTCTTCCTTCTGCGATTTTTTTTTAACCAAAACTAGGGAGGGGGGCCCTGGGCCCCCCAGGCCACTCCCCTAGATCCGCCCCTGAACTGTACAAGGATATTACGCGTACAATCCCTAATTGGATCAATGAGAAAAATGTAACAAACCTGATATAGAATTGTGGTATCTCGTCGTTTACAACCTGGATAACTGTCGCCTTTGAAGCTTCTCTATTTCCCGATGACAAAACCAACTTAACCAAGTAAAGTCCATTCTCCACTACCTTCTGCTGGGGAAGAATTATTTCTGAGGAATTGGCTGCCATTGATCCATTATTACCAAAGCAGCCATTTGGCAAAGGAGACTCACTGAGAGCATCCGCCAAAGTAGACAGCGGCATCTTTGAATAATTGAAGGTTTTCAATCTGTCAGTAATGTTGTAACAGTACCATTTAAATTCCAACTTACTGCTATCCGGAGAGTCGGGATCCAGGGAACCAGTTGCATTTATAAACACTGGTTGTAAATAACTCCTTCTGTTGGCAGAGCCGTCTCGTAGATCTGCAATCAATTTCGAAGCAGTGACCTTGAAATACCCCTCAGCAGTTCCCGCAATATCGAACGCGTTCTGTAGGGTCAGCGTTAATTTTATGCAATATAATCCATATTCCAATTCATTTGAAAGTAATATGAGGTCAGATCTTTCCGTTACTCTTGTACTCTGTAGAACAAAGCCCTTATCTGTGGTATTTTTGAATATTTTCCATTGAAGAATCGCGCCTGTTGCTCTTTCGCAATCGATTCGATATCGTGAACTAACGATGAATTCCTTGGAACGTGTAATTACCGCTGGTGAAAGCCGATTGCTGGCAACGTTTTGGAGAATGACCTGCGGTTTAAGGCAAGGCAATTCCGTGATAATTACAAGGGAGTGAACTGACTCAGAGGTAAAATTATTTTGTCCACTCCAAGTTACGTTATAAGTTGCAGCCTTAGTGTATGTGTAGTTGTATTGCAAGGAGGGATACGGAAACGATTTTTCGTATTCCCCAGTTGTGCAGTTTAGCGATCCAAACACAATCCTCTGACTGTTTCCAAGATCTAAAGTAAAACAAGACGGATAGCCAGTTTCACTCGCTGAAAGTGTCAGCGTCAAGGTTCTGTTGACCATAACTGGACCGTTTTGACTTATGCCGAGCTTAAGTGAACGAGGCACAACCTTGGTTACAACTTTGGCGCTGCTGGAGTTGATGGTGTTGTTGCATAAGAATTGAACAGTGTATTCCCCATAAGATGTTAAATTGTAACTTATAAAAGATGTCAGATTGAAATAAGTGAAAAATAAAATGGGCTGGTTATTGACTCCAAGATCCAACCAGCATTCGAATGCCGTTCCTTGCTGGACACCAAAACTGCACATGGTCAAGTCAGACAAGCCCACGGTTTTATTACAGTTTACGTAAGCTCCACTCATTGGCACAAGCTCCGAAACGTCAATTTTCCGTAAGATACTTATACTACTGACGTTATTGTGAGCTGTGATGTTGACGTTGAAAGACCCACTTACCCTAAAGAAGTAATCAAGGGTTTTCTCTGATGAAATAACTACGTTTCCGTCTCCCATATGGAATACAAATTTTGGCCTAGTTCCATTCGTAACGTTGATGTGGAAGACAATCCGGTCATGTTGAAAACAAGAAGGGTATCTACTCTGGCACTCCACAGTAACGTTAAATCCATGTATGGCGACTTCACTTATAATTAAAGCCGAAGCATTAGCTTGGCTAACTTTATTTGAGGCGTAAAAGAAACCATTGCATGTTCCAACTTTGTCGAAGACACATGTTAGCAAGCTGTTTAAGTGACTTGGCCCGTTCAACCAAGTTGCCAGGAAAGGAAGTTCACAGTCATATAATGAGGCATTCACTGAAACGTTCGTCCCCTGTTCTATAGAAAACAAAAATCTTGCATAGTGACCCACAGTCACAAAATAAATCTCTCTATCCGCCTTAAATCCTCTCACCGGATCCTGTACAATAACCTTGCGCGTCGATGTCAAGGAGCTCACCTTGTTTTTAGCGTTCGCATAAGCCATAAATACGCCAGCTTTGGGATAAGTATAGTTTGTTTCAAAGCATGTGGAACTAAGAACCATTCCATTTCCAAAGGAAAACAAAACGAGAGGCTTTTTCAGGGACACAACTTCTAATGAAACATTAAAATGGGATGACGTGTTCGTTGCCACCGTTGTTGGCGCCGTGAAATTTAATCCACAGAGCTTTACTTGAACATAAACCATTCTGTAAATCGTCTGGTTACTGAAGTAGTTAAATGCGTACACTATAACCCAAAATTCACCCTCAAAAGTGTAATTGTGCCAGTTCACAAGGGAGAACGGAGTGCTCGCGTTTGCCATAATGTACCTGCCTACTGTCTCGTTAGCACTGTTGTCTCCCCAGCTGATGACTCCGGTTGAATTTGTTCCTAGTCTCAATTTCCATTGGATGGAAAAATTCTGACCTAAAACCACTGAAAAATCGTCGCCTATAAACGACAATCCATCAACTGAAAGAGAAATAACATAATGATTGAGCAAACCAGACATAATTATTCAAGTAGTTAATGACTGTTACTGAAGATGGAAGAGTGATACCACATTGGAAAATATACCCTAAGTTTCTTGCAGATTTATCATTTAGTATGAAAGGAAGAACGCTTACTTTTCGTATTACTTACCCGGGCATGGGAAGTTACAAGGTGCAATCTGCTCAATCAAAGGACAGTGGGCTCCACTATTCTTATTAATAGGACTGAGGCAAGGCTTTATTCTTCTCTTTACAGGTGTGTGACCACATTCTGTGCAATTACTCCAAGCAGACCATTCTGTGTCCAAACCTCCATATGCTGCGGTTAATTCAAAGGAAAAAGGAAGTAGAAAACGAAATATAAACTTAACACTTGATTACATTGGTTTAGGTTAATAGCACTCTCTGGTTGGTCTAAGTAACTTGCTCCGCCGTGATATCAACCGAGTAGATAAGTGTGCTAACAAGCAAGGTTGCCTACGCAACCAAAGCGTACCCGAGTCTCCACATCATTTAGCAACGAGGATTACTTCGGTTACCCTTCTAGGGAATGGTAATCACCCATCAGTGTTTTCTTTAGGATTTTTTTTTTTATTTTACGAACACCTATCCATATTCTTGATGGAGAGAGGCTCTCCGAGTGTAAAAAGTCGTGCCCAAGAAAACAACACAGAGACCTGGCCAGAGCTTGAGCCCGCACATGCTGATTCAGAACCCTAATGGTACTGACCATCAGGCCAATGCATCTTCAATTCAGTACCAAGCCCTTGCTTTTCAGCTCACGGCTTAATTCTGGGGAAGTTTGCGTTCACATCATAGAATTTAACAGATCTAATTTCTTAACGTACCTGTCTGGCAGCTGTAATACATTACAAATTTTAGATAACTCCCACAGGAGCCACCCAGTAGAGACTTTTTATTCAACACAACGCATGAATTTCTGCCATCGCAAAGGTTCTGAATGATTGTCATTGCCCTTTGACCATAATTGCAGTTTCCAGAGTCGTCTTTCCACGAGACTGCATGCGTTACGATAACCATGTTGTCATAGCAACTAAGATTAGTTGGTACCATTGTATAACGCTCAGATTGCTCCATTCTATAAACTATGGGGGTAAAAATAAACACAATAGAAACAACGTAAGTTTTAAATCAAGTTCTAATAGAATTTGTGCAAATGAAAGAACTTTCTTAGGAAAGATGTCAACAGAAAAATAGCTTTTTTTTAACCTCCTCCCCTCTGACAAACGTTCTAAATAACCATCGACAAGATAAGTAACCTCGCGCCCTAAAGTACTCCAAAACGTGAAACCCACAGTATCGATAACTGTTGACCTGTCTTTTTTTTAACCCTTTAACACCCTAAGAGTGACTAGCATCTAATTTCTCTTTACAATATCTCCCCTGAATCAATTATTAGAGTCATGAGAATTATGGAAATGATCAATAACTACAGAGGCTCTGGATCGTTAAGCTAATTCCCCTTGTCAGCACCTTAGGAAATGTATAGAGAACAGTATGGAGAATATGCATACTGATGTTAGGGAGTAAAGGGTTAATTACTAATAATTTACTTTGCCGAATTACCACCTTGTAGGGTTTATGAGGAAAGATAACAAACAACTTTAACCCCTTACACCTTACGATCGGTATGCATTTTCCCCATACTGTTCTCTATACATTTCCTATGATACTGACAAAGAGAATATGTTTAACAATCAAGATCTTCTTTAGTTGGTGATCATTTCATCTGTTCTCATGACCTCAATGTTTGTTTTAGGGGTGATACTGATGGGAGCAATTAGTTGCTAATCACTCTTAAGGATTAAAGGGTTAAATAACTCTCAAGTTTTGCCTTGAAGAGTTCGGTTGTAACAGAAGCGCGGCTAAGAATTACTTAAATAGTGAATTTCTAAATTATTTGATTTAAGGTTGAAATTTAAAACTATTTATGCTCGAGTCTGGGAGAATCCAATTGCAATTTTTTACATGATGGTCGTTTTTCTTAGTATCAACCTATCGCAATCAAAAGAGTGCTAACAATAATATTAGAATGCCACGAGCTCCAAAATGAAATGAGCACTTACCGATCTCCGTGGCTCTTAATTTAAGAGGTAAATGCCTAAACTTTTTATCAATTTTGACCAAATGCTGGTAATATGGCTCTTTATTTAGTCACTGTTGCACTTACTTGACTGGCACCTGTACGTTACATTCAAAAATTTTTTGATCCCGGGACAAGAATCGTTAAATATGGCTGTTGAGGCTTCGAGGTAACACTGGTTTCGTCCTTGACATCTTTTCATGACAGCAATCTTGCTACCGTTGTTTGATGGGCAACTTTCATTCCCATAGAAGACTGATCGGATCTCAATCACAGTGTGGTTAATGTCGTCCTTGGGACACACAATTGTGGTATTCTCTCCATGATCAAGGCTCACAGTTTTATCTACGGGTACATAACAACTATGGTCATTACTATACAACAAGTTCAAGTAAAACTTCAAATTCAATAAAATTAGTTTCCACGTCTCCGTCGAGCACCCTGGGCAACGTTCCAAATTGAGAAATGGCCAGTCACGGTGAAGTACGGTGGGAACTTCATACACCCTATGGTAGCCGTGAAGGCCTGACTGAAGACCGAAGTTGTGGATGCAAAGGGTTATTAAAATTGAAACTGTGAAACTTAGGAGCTTATTTAATAAAGAAGAAAACAGGTGTTCTGACCTCCACAACCATGGTAACAGTGATCCTGCTCTACCAAATTGGACCAGTAGTTGCAGCCCCGCGGAGGTGCAAAATACTCTATACCAGGACGAACACATTGACGTTCTCTTTTTCGACGAGTAGTGAGGCCACAGGCCTCGCATGGACCCCAGGGACCCCAAGGAGTGTAGATGGCTTCCACTTGAAAACAGAAAAACATTCCAGTCAATTGATTTTTTTAATTTTAATTGATATATGCAACTCAGAGGAAGGGGAATTTTCGGTACTATCATTTCTGGCCTAACTCATCCTAGTGGATTAATATAAATACATTAAAATTATAGTCTCTTTTAAAGCTTTGGCCCAAAAGACAGAAAGGAAAACATTAAAGAAACAAGTCGAATCTACTTTCGGATTTGCTACTTATGTGACAGGATGTATAAATAATGACAGCTATTTTGAAAACTAAATGCCGAAATGTCGAAATTATCGAAATGTCGATGTATGATCCTAGGCAAAAGCATAATATTGAAGAGGATATGAACAAGGATTAAACGTAAAAGAGGACAAAAGAAAACAAAATTAGAGGTTCACGTGGCGGAAGCTCAGAATGAATACGGTCGAATGTGAGGCCAGTATAGTTGGGTATCTGTTAGGTCTCTCTCTAAGTCCCACAGTATTTCACCAAGGGGCTTGGTCATTATTATCATCTTTCTTAGTCAATACTTTTGTATGCGTATCTACAGATCGAGACGCGACGTAAAAAAAACTGCAGGAACACATTTGCCGCTTGAAAAGCAAACCAGAACTCAAAAAGAAAAACGGAAGTAAACTAGCAGTGGCTGTCGACAAAGTGCACTTACCTCTCTGGCAGCTGTGATGAATCGTGAGATAATTACTGGTGTCTTTGCACTGTCTCAAATTGAATTCAGTAGCCGATATCTTCGGGATATCGCATTTGTTTACACCCCAACAATATTCATTCATGACATCATAATTCAGACCAGAGCTGCACGATCCCGAGGCTGTAACTGGACAAGATTCTGACGTGTTCATTTGACCGTAAAAGAGCGTGTTGTGGAAAACAACTCGCATTCCAGCGGGACAGCTTAATAAAGCTTTGTCTGCGTCGCAAAATGTTCTCGTAAATACTGAAGAGAGAGAAGAGGAGAGAGAGAGAGAGAGTAAGAGACATGAATATCAACTTATTACCTATCTAGGGAGGAATATGTTACGTTTCCTGAAGATTGCCAAATTTGAAACAGTTATTTAATTTTTGGTGAAGTCTTAAGTAAAATAATTACACCGAGTCAATTAATGCTCGCAGCGTCCATTCTCAAGACTTTCCCTGAATTTTGGAGCCTATGAAAAGGGATAAATTCATACGGCACGAACTTTTGCCACTATCCATAGTTTCTCTTGAGCAATAACCACTGCGATAGAATCTTTTCAAGACATTTACCAATAATTCTTTCGGTATCAAAAACAACGACTCTCACCCGAAAGTCTCAACTACAGTTTGGTCGTGAAAAGGCCTCGAAAACAGAAAGATGACCTTTTTGCACTATAGTCAACAGCTTCATCGATTGGTTAACGTGCCTTTTAAATAAACCCGTGCTCCAACTAAAGATCTTTCGTATTTATGCAAATTAGCCTTTCTGGCCTCGTAAACGTGTCAAAATAAAAAGCAATACAATAATTCAATCGAAAACGAGGTTAAGAGCGTTAATTTGCATCCAGATAAAATAATAATCATCATGCCTACCATTTATGAAAGAGGTTTGTACGAAAATGTAGAATTATTTTCTTACTAGGACTGCACGTGTAGTTGATTTTCAAGCGCTTGCTAAATCCGGGACATGGGTCGCGAAACGTGTCATTAGAAACTGCTATGGTACAGTTAGATTTCATCTGGCATCTTTCATAAACCTGTGCTCTATTATGGCCTGCTATGTCATCTGGTGGTACACATGCGCCATCTGGAAGACCGCTGCTGTCGCAAAAGCTAACGTTCTCCTGTTCACGGCCGTAGAACATGCTGATAATGTTGATGAATGTACCATTTGGACAGGATAAGTTGGCTGTCAAAAAATGGCAGGTTGTAGAATTGCGGTCTAAAAAAAGTAAAGAAAGACATTATGACGTCTACTTTCTTTTAAGAGTGAATGTCTCTAAAAATCAAAGAAAAATAACAAAATCGCGGACATGGTAAAAAATCATTTCGTCCCATTTTTTGTCTACAGGTAGCTATAGGTACTACTTAAAGTGAAGTGAGGTTAATTTCTGTAAATATTCATTTTAACGGAAATAAACCGATACTAATTGCATGATCGAAAATGAGTGCCTGCGAGCTCTAAATTATGCAGTTTTCAGGCCGTCCTTGCATGAACTAAAATGCAACAGCAGGACTTCTCTAGCTATAAATATATACATGTAGCCTTCCATTACCAAGATATAATGATATTTTTTGTATCGTGTCCTTCCTGACGAAACCACGGGTTAATTACCAGTGGACGTGTTCGCCATATTTAATTCATGCCAAACCCGGCCTAATGTAATGTGGCAAAAATGCATGTGGTAGTTTCTCAAAATCTCCAGCAATACTATCACGAGGGCTTATAAGGTGGGTCTTCAAATTCATCATTTCATTTTTCTGGTATCTTCCGCTGTTTTGATGTACCAACCAACCAAACTTCGCTAAAATTGTAAATGGCGCCATATTGAAATGAACAAAATCAACATTGCAATGACACAAGCAAAGCATTGTTTGAGTCGCAGCCGCACTTAGCTTTTTATTTTTGCTTTGACATAAATAGTTCCTTACCTTAGAAATCTTTTATAGGCCCTTGTTATTCCGCTTGGAAGATATTTTCGAAATACTGTCCTTTGAAATTTGGTGTGAAGGTGGCCTACCGGCTAACTCGTTGAAGCCACTGAGCCGGGATGAGTAAAATAAAGTTACTTGTTGTTGTCATTTTCTACAGCGCGTCACAACCCAGTTACGTTTAGTCTACTTTGATCTTAATTTTGGTTTTATTGACGTCTCACACAAAAAGGGTCCCGTACAAAACGGCAGGTAACGCTAGCGATTTGCCGGATTTTAATTTTTCACAGGTTCCTGTCACTCTGCGTGACATATGATAATCTGTCACGTAACGAGATCAACAAACAATTCATTCTGCCTCACATATAAGATCTAAACAAATATATTGCCATCATGAACGAGAACAATACAACAAAGAAATAGACTTTACAAAATTTCACAAATATAAACCGTACAGTGAAAACCTTATGGAACGAAAATAACAATACAATTTTCCCACGGAAAACAAATGTGATGGGTTAACGAAAGTAAACAAAAAACAAAAGCGTAATAATCGTCGGGGAAGGGAATAAAGACAACGGTTGCTTTAACTCCAGCAGAAAAAGAATGTCTTAATCTTTACATGATATTGTAGGTGGCGTTTGTGGCGCAGAGGAAGCCACAAGCGTTTTTTACAATTTTCAGGTGCTGAGACAGAGATTGAACTTATCTTAGCAAGAAGCGGGATTTTCGCGAAGCCTGATAAACGGAAGAGCTGCTCCTCTTCCAAACCAGGAGAAAAGGAGAATGAGAATTGAACCTGTAAGATTAGAACATTTTGTTTCTTTCATAACGAGTCCACACGTTACTCAAGATGTTCCTTTCGGGGAAAAACTTCTAAAATTGTCGACTGGCGAGATCATAAAAACACCCAATGTTATCAGAACAATGATACCAGAGCGTATTGTCCAATAGTATCAACAATACTGCTGTGAAACCAACTTTGAGCCTATGAGTAAGAGAACTCTACAGAGAGTTTGGGCTGTGTGTTCTTCATCTGTTCGCAAGTCTCTGCAAGGACTTGATAACTTTTCAGCATCAGGAATGGAAGCAGTTGATGCTATAGAAAAACTCGTAGACAAGCTTGTTGACTGTGGCAAGACTCAGCAATGAGCGAGGGAAATTAAGCAGCAACTTCGTTTTTCGAAGCAGTACCTAAAGGGCGACTACAAGGTGGGTGCATATTTTATAATTATGCGTTGCCTTTGCAAATGTAGTAAACTTCTTACTATGATTCACGGCTACCTCTTTCTTTCTCTCCAAGTCTTCTTTATGCTTAATTGATGAAACAACAGTTTACAATTCACTGTAATACGCTTACACACATGTATACAACGCTGAGAATCGATTAAGTAATCTTTTTGAAATGTCGATCATATGCGCATGCAATGCTTTGTAAATATACATTGAATCACGCGCTTGTCATTTTACTTTTTATTTTAGGTACATGCAGTGGAGGCCACAAAGGTTCCCGATCATTGTCGAATTTATGCGCTAAGTGACCAGAGCAATGCTGAATTTCGGGGCTCCTGCGACCATCTCCACAATGAGTCATATGAGCAGTGTTATGAGTTACAGGAAGTACCATAGAAGACGAGTGTTCAAGTGCGCTCTCGTCAGCAGAAGATCAAGCTGACATGCAACTTACCATCAAACAGGCAAGGGATGACATCATTTGCTGGAAAGCCCATCAGCTACGTTCAGTCCACCAAGCTGAGGCGAAGCATCCAGTTTTAGCCAAACTCGACAGCCGATCGGTGTTGTTAGTCCAGGACTGGGCAATGAAATATATGCCCCGAAAATATTGAGAGGCGCAGTCAGATTGGTTTGCGAAGCGAGGATTGCCATGGCACATTAGTGTTGCCGTAAGACGGTCAGAGGGTTCTGAGCACTTTGAATCGCAGACACCTGTTCACGTATTTCAAAGCTGCGCCCAAGACAGTGTGACTGTGGCTTCGATTATGCTTGACTGCCTCACTACCCTGAAAAAGGAAATTCCAGAGCTGGAAATGGCTTATTACAAACAAGATAACGCTGGCTGTTATCACAGTGGAAATTCAATCATCTCAGCTAAGCTGGCCAGTGATGCCATGGGAGTGGCTTTTGTAAGAAACGACTTTTCGGACCCTCAAGGTGGAAAGGGGGTATGTGATCGCAAAGCGGCAACAATCAAGGGAAGGTACGTTGGAAGGTACGTAAACGAAGGCAATGATGTCATCAACGCTCTACAGTTCAAAACAGCCATTGAATCTGGTCAAGAAACCACAGGAGAGAAAGCAAGTTATGTTGCTGCCAAATTGTCAAGCACCTTTAATATCAAATGGGATGGCATAAGCTTACTCAACAATTTTGAGTACGATGAAAGTGACACACGAGTGTGGAGAGCATTCAATGTAGGTTCCGGTAAAGTAGTGCCATGGGCCAAGTTCGAAGGAGTCATGAAGTAGCCCGAAAAATTGGAAATCCTAGACTCGCCATCGCAGAGTCAAGTGGCGCACCGACGTTCAAGATTGTGAGACACCGAAATATTAAGGAAAGCTCTGTCAAAGCAAATTTCTTAACTGAGAGCGAAAACCAAGATCGAAGCTGTATTGGGGAATATAAGCCAGATGACATGCTTTTCCCGTGTCCAGAAGAAGGATGTGTAAAAGCCTACAGTCGCTTTGCAAACCTCCAGACACACCTAGATACTGGAAAACACCAAATGATGCTCGAACAGGAAACTCTCTACGATAAAGCTAAAAGAGAATATTCTTCCAAGCTGATGGAGGGACGCAGTCGAATACCAAGCGTTCAAGTTGCCGCACAATCAAAGAGAGACGGCTTGCCGCCTCTTCCAATGGGTTGGGTCCTGAAGACAATTAAGAAAAAGGTGCGTTTTACAAGGAAACAGACCGAATTCTTAACTGACTAATTTCAAAAAGGGGAGTATAGTGGACGGAAAAGCGATCCACAGGAAGTTTCGAAAACCACGAGCCTAGCAAGAGACCAAGCGGGGGGACGTCGATTTCAACCTGATGAAGTCCTTACGTCGCAGCAGATTAGTGGCTTCTTCAGCCGTCTTTCAGTAAAGAAGCGATTAGAAGTTACAGCCGCCGGTAACCGAGCAAAAGCTAGTGAAATCTCAGAAGTGGACATGGAGAGCGTCGACAAGGACGAAATTTCCGCCAAAGCTGAGAGCCATCTATCTGCAGTGTGTGCAAATGTGATGAGAGATGTGGCTATTCAACATTCGATTGTATCTTTCGATCTAAACATCTGTTAACTTGTACAAAAACGTACACTCACAACTTTAAGAGTGGATAGGCTAAGAGACATGTGCATAGACCTTGGGCTGGATATTTCTGACATTTCACCTCAGAAGAGGAAAAAGCCATTCATCGCACGACTCACACAATTAGTCCAGGAGTGTACCTGCTCTTCCAAGTAACTGAGCACTGAACGTTTTACGAATAACTGATCTGCTGATTATAAAAGCGGTGCGTGTATTATTTACATGGAGGCGTTGCGTGACAGCAGAGTCCTACATATCGGATTTTAGTCACTTGAGCTCACCATTGCTTGTGAAACCTCATCTTTGTGTTGGACAATTTTTAGTAAATTCGAAACTGGCGAGTGCAGGAGGTGCAGAAGGGATGCAAATGCTCGAATCCATGTTCACCGGATGAGAAGTAAACGGAAACTAACGGCTTTGTGCCAAATTTAACCTTTTGAGTGCAATTGAACTGTTTAACCTGTTGTGTGTAGAATTATGCAGAATTATGGCGTGATTCTCAAAGGGTAGCAAAAGTCGAAAATTGTTTCTCCTGTCTCCGTATATAAAAATCAAGTGTAGTTATAGACATTTTAATATGTTTCTAGTCATTTTAACGGTCAGTGAAGATATAACTGACCAAAACAGTTATTTGTGTCCGACGCGTTTAATTTTGTTATTATGCATCTCATTATGGGGTCATGGTAATTTAACTGAAATTTGGCTGGTGGTCATCTTTTGATAGTCAAAGGTCCCAAAGAAATAAAACCCACATCGTAAAGAACTATCTTTCAAGGCTTCTTGGTAGTGTTATTGTAAACTTTGAGACACTACCACTTGTATTTTTGCCAAGCTATTCTAGGCCACCTTTGCCTTAATTTCGAAAGGTCGAAGATGTCGTCTCTTAATAGGGACGTAGCTCCTCCAAGAATAACATTAGACAAAAACTATCACTTTGTCTCGATAATACAAGTCCAACTCAATATTTCTATGACTAGAAAAGTCCTTCCGTTACATTTTTGTTAGCATGACAAGTGCCCGAAAAGTGCATAATTTCAGGATCGCGCTTGGTGAAATTTGAGCTATTTACCCCCGGAAATGTTAAAACAAATTATTCCCGTTAAAGTGCATATTTAAAAAATCTAACCCCATTTCCGTTTGTTTACTAGATAAGGCTACCCACAGGCAAAAAATGAACCAAATCGATTTTTGACCGTGTCCGCGACTTTTCCGATAATCTGTGATTTTTATTGACATTTACTCTTAAATCATCTGAGTATGATATCTGAGATTGTATTTTGATTTATATCTGACTACCATTAATCTAGATATCTTTCGTTATGGTATTAGATCTCAAATGCCATGACTCAACAGTCCGGGAAAACCTATATCTCAGTGTCATCGTTGTCTTTATGGCTGGTCAGGTTTGGTTCGTGATCGAGGGTAGCTTACACTGCAAAACTTAAGTACAACAGCATAAACACTCACCAAGACACTCTTTGTAACATCCTGACTCCAGAGTTTCTGATCTGTGACCGGAGCAATCACCTCCTCCTGTAGTAGTGGTAGGATTTTGGCAAATCCTCCTCCTGACTTGATGGTAAGTTATACCACACACGTCTGGGCACGCGCTCCAGCTTTCCCACTGAAGGTAGCCATTTTCAGCTAGGATCAATAGAGACACTATTGTTCATTCAAAACAGACTTGTTTAAAAATTTATGTAACTTCACTGATTAGTGCCATTTTTTCGAGGGGCATGCATACGTGACTTAAGATGCCGGCAGCTACGAAATATCCAGGGTGAAATATTTGTGAGTGAAATACTGAAATCGGAAAACTCTTAATGTTCGGAGCATGGATTCACCTTTGAAACCCACTAAAGCTGTCTAGTACATTAAGATCCTCCATTTTATTCGCTCTAAAGAGGTTGGACCATAAATAAGCAACAGAAAATAATAGTTAATGACGTTTTAAAGATGTTTCATTTCTGCCTCGTTTTCCATGTTAAAACAACAGTCATAAAGTCGGTTGGTACTGTCGAGGTCATGGCGATATGTTATCAAAGTTCATTGATGATGAGACAGTTGCAGTCTTTCCTTTGAAATCCGTTTGGCCATTCGTTCGGTCAAATAAAAAAAAACAGTGGTAATATTCACGTTAAGCCATTCTCACGGATACTTACCAGTTTGGCAGCTGTGTTTGACAGAAAGTCGTAACTCGGTAATTTTCTCTGGGTACGGATTAGTAAATTTTTTCCTTGTAACGTTAAAATAACATTTCATCTTGCCACGGCAATTGAATAGTTTGACAGTGTGTACTTTCTTGGGCTTGATCTCCTGAGTGATGTTATAATATTCATACTTTTTTTGCTCCGGCATGATGGATCTAGAGGAGTTTAAAGCTGGCACTGATACGTTAGGGACCGTCGTTGCTGATAGCGTTGACAACAGTGTTTTATTTTGTCTTAATAAGAAAGAAGTTATGGAAGGTTGGGCGATATATGTTGTCGTAGTTGGAGATGAAGACCCCAATGACAGAACTGTTTTACCTGGCGAGTTTTTTAAAGATAATGATGGTTTTGTAGGTCGAACTTCTGTGGACTGTCGGGGAAAGAAAGTAGCTATTGTTGGAGATGAAGTCATTGATGGTAGCATTACTGGATTTAACAAGGTTGATGATAACAAAGACGGTGTGGTCACTGGTGCTGCTGTCGTTGGTAATGGCGATGAAGAAAAAGATCCTTCAGTTATTAATGTCTCTGATAATGTTGCAGATACGCCTGGTGATTTCATTACAGAATTAAGTAATGGTGACGAAGGTCTTGATGATGCTGCCAAAGATTCTGATCCTGAAGTTGAAGAAGAATTGATCATCATGGTAAACAAACTAGGAGTGGTAGCTGTTTTCTTTTGAGTCACAAGCGCAGTCGACGATATGTGAAACCCTGATGCCAGTAGTGATGTACTAGCAACCACTTGTGTCTGTAACACTTTCCTGTTACTTTTACTTGTAGACCATATCATGCTCAAGTTACTTGTTGAAGTGGCAACCAGTGGAATGGTACTGTTTGGTGCTGATATATTTCGACTTTTAAGTATATATTCAATTCCGAGCCATTCCAATCTGTGAGCGACAAATACTTTCCCTTTTGGACAAACAAAGTTGCCAATATGATGTTCTTTTATCTCAGTCACGTTAACTGCAATAAATAGAGTAAAGTTCGAATCAATTTTAAAAATTGTTTGAGAATAAAAAAGAAATAGGTTAAAAGATAAACAAATCATGCAAACATCGCGGCTGTCTCAGTGAGCAATTTTTGAACTTACTCATCGACTCGAGGAGATTCAAAACATCACATTTGCTTGAAATGCACACAAAAATCCTGTCGGAAAACTTGTAATAAATGTTTTCTTTCCTAACAACGAACATGAAAAAGGTTCTATACAAGCCGATTTTTTAGCGAAGGCTATGTTAACAAATCCTCACATTTCAATTCCATTCAGGGATTGCGTCACAACTTAAGAAAACTTGGAGAGAGGTAGTTCGATGCTTTTAAGTTTGTAATTTGCGACCTATGGCAACTCTTAGCTTCGTGTTTATTACTCAGAGGTTTCCCTCCATGCAAAGCAACGTGGATGACTGAAACCTTTGTGACCTTACTCCTCTTCTCACTAAACTATCTGACATCAGCAAAGAAATAGACACAAATGATTTGCTAGACTAGATCATTTTTCCAAACTCACTTTTTTTACAGGTGTAGGAAATGTTAAAATAGCTTGTGTTGCACGGTTTTTCCAGGCCATCATAAGATCCGTTAATATCACAAGAGCTCTTTCCCTGGCATATTGGTGTGACTTTCCTGCTCAGATCAATGGATGGATCACACAATGATGTCGGTGGGCAAGTAAAGTTATCAGTTCTTCCATACATCACGGACTCGATGAAAATTTTGGTATCGTTGTGGCACGTGATTGTCGACACCACCGTTGGACATATCGTCTTAAAACGTGCTGAGTGGAAAACGAAAAGGTATTGAACTATTACTGGCCTCAATCCTTACAGATCTTGTTATTGGGAAAACTCTAAAGATTTTCTTCAACAACCATATTTGTAAAAAGCCTCCCCAGCTGGAATCTTGTGGGATTTATGTATATCTTCCCATACGCACATTTCTTAATAAAGATTATTTTCTCGATGTTTAAAATATATTTACACTTCCTTACCGCTGCACGTAGCAAACGTAAGCCAAACCATCATCACTGCAAATCGCAACATCTTCGCCGGATGAGGATTATACCTCAAGGCCTATCCACGACGAACGACTGAAAAAAATGAGTTGTGAAGGTGTAGAAGGTAACACAAAGAGTTAATCTTGAATGAGCAAATGGTACACTGGCAACTGAAAGTGTTTATAACCAATTTAAGCTCTAGGCAGATGAAATGGCACCGGCGAATGAATCAAGAATAGGGCAAAAACAATACTGGGAGGAAATCTTTTTGCCCTTTAGGCTAACATTTCTTTTCTTTTGCCCTCCAGTTAGTATATACATTTCCGTTTATTTGCCTCCTCCGTTTTTCATCTCTATTTACTAGTTTGCCTTCAGGCTGACTGACATGACAAAGTCTTATATGCAGCTTTTGATATGCCGACGTTTGGACATCAATAGCCTAGCTATTCTTTGCTGTTATCTTACAGTTGTAGTATGCACTTTCACTTATGTGCCTCAATCCACCATTTATCGATCTCTATTTATCTACTTGCGTTCAGGCGGACTGACATGACAAAGTCGTACATGTAGGTTTTTATCTCCCGACGTTTGGACATCACTGGGCTAGCAATTCTCTCCTCTTATCGCACAGTCAGTATACATTTTCTCTTATTTGCCTTCATCCGCCATTTATTCTCCTCTACTTATCTGTTTGCCTTCAGGCCGACTGACATGACAAAGACGTACATGCAGTTTTTGATATACCAACGTTTGAACAAAACTTTTTCGAATATTAAAGCTATTAGTCACGCTTTGAGTGATTCGAACGCAAATTACACTGATTCCCCGTGTCCAGTTCTCAAGACACTTTATCGTATGCCAAAAGACGTGCAATATGGTCGTTCAAAACCTCGTTTTCATTTCTTATCAAATTTTGAGTAGACTGAAATATCTGCGCCTAGCTTGAGCCAATCATACCCTAAGAGGCCTTGAACGCAACAAATTCTTACTCGGAAAGCGATGAAGCGAGAACGGCAACGACGCGGAAACATTGATCGAAAATAAACTTACATTTTGTTTAAATGATCTCGATTTGCTTCATTAGCTGACACTGAAGCTGGTAGCGGTTGAGTTTAATGGAGAAGAGTGAATAATTTGCAAGTGGGGATCCTGTTCTTAGACAACACAAAATTTGGCAGTTTCATTTGTTTTTCTGCATCGTACGTCTACAACACGTAAAAATTTTAAAATTCATTTGCAGAGCTATTGTTCTGGTCATTACACTTTTTGTTTCGCTATTTTCTCTTTTTGTCACGACAGCGATTCCCTGAATATCTTGATTAGCTCAGCCCACGGGGACGGCCCACTTTCACGTCTATAAATTTCAAACTGAAAACATAAATCATTTTCCATTTCCAAAATATTCACAATCCTCTGTCCCATTTTTATTACATTTAAAGGCTTATAAATAAGACTTTTTGACTCGAACTGTTTGCTGAAAACGATATTTTGAATGAGGAACGTATTCTATCATAAGCTTAGAAGCTCGCCGACTTGTCTAATAACAACAGCACAACAATATGATTATCTGTAGTCTCAAAAGGAAACATCTGGCGTAAGTAATTAGAGTTCCCATCTAATGTAGTAACTATACCTGTAAAACATAATAAACTGAAAATGTTTATCAGATATTTCTTCCAGCTTCAAAGATGCCGCAATTTACTTTATAGTGAGATGTTCATTAACCAGTTTTTATTAAAAAATGAGAAATCAATGGAATGAGTTACTACTTAGAAAAGCGATATGTCTGCTCTTCTCAGGCATAGAAAATGTATGTTTAAGTTTTAAAATCTGCGACTTCATATAATCCATCGCTGTTTGATGATGAAACACGATTGTCCTTTAAAACACCATTGTTTTGTAAACGAGGAACATCTCCATATCTCCCTCGTGTGGCAAAATTCCTTAAGCTAACCAGCTAAGAGTTTTAACGACATTAATTCTGCTCTACTCTGGTGTAGAAAATCTCTGTTTAACTTTTAAGATCTGCAACATGATATCATACATCGCTGTTTGATGAAACACGATTGTTTTGTTGTTTTTTTTTAACACACCATTGAACTGTAAACGAGGGACATCTCCACGTCTCCCTGGTGTGTCAGAATTCCTCAAGTGAACCAGTGTTCTACCGAGACCAAAACATGTAGCAGTTTGTGTTTATGCTGAGACAACCCCTTCTGAGGACCCGGCTATGGGGGTAAATATCCATCATGTAATAATGTTGATCATTACATGCATGAAGAGTAACACTTGCTACAGGAACGATTTGAAATCAGGAATAACTGACTATCATTCCATAATTACACCATTTTACCATATAAGGGAGAAAAAACGTGTACCTATCTAATGACGCACTAGAACGAGGCGAATGCACTGAAAGAAAGCGGAGCAACTTGATGGTCGCACTTAACGAACCAAGCTTTGTTTTTTTAATCTCCTTCAGACTTATTCCATGGTTAATCATTTATTACTAAAGAAATTTTGCTTACCGCTTGCAACACGCAAAATGTCTGCGCATGTATAAATCTAATTGTCAAACAATTTCTTAGTCTAAAATCATTCATTTCCTGTGAAGACATAATATTTAGAGGAAAAAAATCTTGTGTTACCTTAATGCTTAGCAGCAGGTTGAGCTGGTGTAAACGCCTTTCAAAATTGTCATGACAATCTGTTGACTCTAGAAATCAAGGGAACGAGTTATTGCGTTTTATCCTTTACAGTTCTGTATTATTTGGAACTAAAGGACGGAAAGGGCTCGACCAACCCAAAAATGTCATATTTCAAATGTTTTGCTAGAATATTTGCAAATGACTTACAGCTTAGAAACGTCATAGAATCGCTTCAATCTTTTACGGACACTGACCAAAGTTTACATGGTTATATTTACTCACAGCGTAAGATTGACAATATGTTGAAAAAAAATTAAAACTTTGGTGGAAACTAGCCCTGTCTTGCGTTTCGATGGCACAACCACCATAAGATTCTACTGGTTATCGGTAAGTCCCTCAGCCTTCCCTATCGGCGCCCAGCGGCAGGTGCAGGCCCCATTTAACAATAGGCCTTTCGTTGATTGGCTTATTGAAGTGTACACGACGATGGGCGTTTTGTTTCTGTTGTGCTCATTTAAATCACTCAACGCGAATGGAGTCAGATTACATGTTCAAATATAATTGGTCAAAATTTTATGAAAAGATGATTTTTAAACTCTGTTTAATCTGTACAAGCTATTGGTCACGTCGCAAATACCATAATATTCTAAGCGATGCAGATTGGGTTGGTACGGTAAACCTCATTCTCCAACTGTGTGAAATATCTTGGTGGGTGATGACTGTATAGTCTTCTGCATGTTAGATCGTTACATCAAAATTAAAAACCTTACGAGTGTAAGATTATCAGAAAGCAGTATCATCCCAGTTAAAAGGTCCTCGAAAACTATAACGACATGGTATATTTTCGGGTGGCTTGAGAGAAACAGAACCGGGTCTAAAATTAACCAGCATGACGTTAAAGGTGTCGCTTTTAATTTGACGACTTCTTTTCTAAGCATGAATCGTTTAATTTCATGCACCGCTTGATCTGCAGGTCTCGGTTGTTCGAAAGCTAGATAATGCTATCGACTGGATCAATCTCCATTTGGTGTATAGCACAGTACGCTTTGTTATCTGCCCTTTAAACAGCTGGGCCCTGGTCTTCACAGTCGAAAAAAACTTCGGTTTACTTTAAAGCAGCTTTCGATTGTATTGTGTTTGTATATTGCAAAGAAGTTTTTCCTCACCCACTCAGTTTGGAAATCTACGTTTTTTAATTTTTTAAAGTCGTTGTTTGAGTAAAATTTCTTTTTCAAAGAACCACCCACGAAGAATCCTTCCTTGGTTATTCGTGATAAACATGTGATAAAGTAATTCTGCTCAATACATGCTCAGGATTATCTGCTGGTAAGGCACTGAGATCTCTGTTTTAGTACCAATTTTTGGAGAAGAAAAAAAATTTTTTTCGTCTGGACACGAGCGTGAGCAAAGAAAACGTTCTAATCCCCTTGAGGAAGCGAAGCTCAGACCTTCGAATTCCAAGCTCCGAATATTGATCTTTTCAGCTACAATAGCCTTGGTTATGTTTCGACGATAAAAAAGTAATCAAAACTAAGCAGGTGTAGTATGTTGAAAAAATGACAGAATTAAAAACAGAACATGATAAAAACGGAAAAAAAACTTTAATAAGAACAAAGAACCGTTTTTTTTCATTTCCGTGCAAACCTGACTAAAAGTCAAATCTTACGTTCTAAAGGAAATTTTTTACAAAAAAATTCTAATTAAAAACTTCTAATTTAAAAGCCCAGGTAATTTGCATACGAGGCTAAAGTAACAAAAGATCTGAGTTTAATCCCGCTTAATTACTCATTTCACACCAAGGAATCAATAAGCCTTCAAGAATAAAGAACCTAGACACTGTATTAGCATATTAAAATTGCACTGTAACAAGTGATTGTGAATGGCAGACACAGTGTCATTCGTAACTCATAATAGCGTAGGCGAGCATCACCCTCAGAGCATGTCTATGACGCATTATGCCTGTGATTTCTAAGTGTTTTCAACACGAAGTTGGTAAATAAGTCTTCCCAAATACATTGGACCTCCTCTCTGTTGTATCTAATTCTATCGTCCATCTATTTACCTATTTTTATTTTCTATACTTATATTGCAATTTTATGTATATATTTATTTCTGTTTTTCTACATTTATTAA